AAAGGGTCGACATAAAACACTTCAGTATGGGAGAAATTGTATCAGACCATTTCAACGTTTTTTATAAACTTCAATTGAAAGGCTAAATAAATGTTCTGAATGTAATAAGCAGTGAGAAAATACACTTATAATAGTAGGTATCCCGATTTCTGGATGCGCAGGTCTCTATGATCAACTAACCAATAATAAATATGCAATGTCCAGTTGAACTTTCAAAATAAAAAGTATGTGGTTGACATAAAATGGTTGCACAATTTACTTTATAGAGCATTTTCACAGAATACTGGTGAAATTTCTACCCCGTGAAAACGTTGTCTGTCACTATTGGCCATGATAATGAATTGGCAACTATAAGAATAACTGGTTTCCCTTTAGACCAGACTGGTATTGTGAGAATATGAAGACTGGTGTGAATGGTAGTACACCGTTCTTTATTTTAAATTTATTTTACAAATGTATCCAGCTAATGATACCGTTTCACTAAATGTACACCAATCAGCCAAAACATTATGAGCACTGGGCTCCCTGACTGGTCCCAGACCAACAGACTGCTCTGCACTGTGTTCTGACCCCTTTCTATCAGAACCAGCATTAACTGTTTCAGCAGTTTGAGCTACAGTAGCTCGTCTGTTGGATTGGACCACACAGGCCAGCCTTCACTCCCCACCTGCATCAATTAACCTTGGCCACCCATGACCCTGTCTCTGGTTCTTTTCCTTCCTTGGAACACTTTTGATAGGTACTGACCTCTGCAGACCTGGAAAAAACCCTACAAGAGCTGCAGGTTTGGAGATGTTCTGACCCAGTCGTCCATCACAATGTGGCCCTTGTCAAAGTCGCTCAGATACTCACGCTGCCCATTTTTCCTGTTTCTAACACATCAACTCTGAGGACAAAATGTTCACTTGTTGCCTGATATATCCCCCCTACTGACAGGAGCCCTGATAATCAGTGTTATTCACTGTCAGTGCTCACTGTGTTAGGGCTGATCCGTGTAACTGTAATCCAATGTGTTTGTAATCAACAAGGAGGGTCTAAGGCTTTGTAGAAGCTGTTGTCTTCCCTTTCCCATAAAAGCTACTTGTGGTGTCACAGCCTGTGAGGGCATGCAGTCACATTTATCATCTCATCTGATGATAAGACGAGAATGTGACTCTGCAAGTTGTAATGCATGTAACACCAATCTAAAAATAATGTCCCATGTGATTTACTTCTTACAACAATATTTTCTTTTATGAGATACTGTGGGGAATTGATTCTACATGTTCTGTGTAGATTAGTGACTTCAGATGTATATCACTGCATTTTACCTTCCTATTTTAAATATCTATTTTATGATTGAGCTATATTTATATAGCCTACATTTGAATAAATCTGTTCAATCAGTTTATTGACCAGATCTACTTTAAAGGGAACAAGAAGGCACAGTTCAAGTCAAGAGACGTATGTGCTATTTCACAAAAACTTCAGTTATGTGACTATTGACTTGCATACCACGCCCTCACAGACTGTGACACCACAAGTAGCTTTTATAGGAAAGGAAGACAGAGACTTTAAATTGTTTGTAGTTTAAGATTCATCATGCATGTAAATAATAATAATTATAAATCCTGTTTTCCTAGACACACTGTTGATTTTCCAGCAGTATAAAGTAATTAAGGCCTACTACTCTCTCTGAGTGAGGAGATTTTTATAAAATGAAGTTCTTTGAAAGAAATATTTTACTTTACTACTTTTGAAACCTCAGAATCACAGAGAAGCCTACTTGTGGCCCAGTGACAAAAGTTTTCCCTCTCAGTGTTTCTGTATTTTTTCCTGTAATGTGATCAGTAAGAAATCTGTCACATAAAGAAAAGATGGTAAACAGTTTGGAAAGCAGCAGAAAGTGAAATTACAGAGTAAACAGTGAGCTGAACATTGGAGTGTTTGTGGGATTGTAGAGGGACTGTAAAGGGAGCGTTGTAGAATATTGATCTAAAGATACAGTATGTTCCTGAATATCTTACACTGACCTCTTTTCTTATGTTGTCTGATTGTTATTATATAATCCTTTGGCTGCTGTAGACATTGTCGGGGGAAAAAAAGGAAAACTTATCTTGTTCCAAAGATATATCAATATATTTCCCAGTCAGTCAATAACAGCTCACTCACAGATCTGCACTGAGAGGTGGAGCAACACTGAAAGAGCTTCAGTGACACATTTCCTGGAAATGAAAGTGAAAGTTTGTCTGAAGACAACAGAGCTGCAGTGGAGACAAGTCTCTCTGTTTCTCTCTGAAGACAAATTCAACTGAATCCATCAGGTTTTTCTCAAGTAAACAGCAGAATCTCTGCCAACCTCTGGTGAGTACAAAGAGAAAAAACTAAATATCTAGTCAAACTTCTTTTATTTAAATAATATTTTTTGAAGTAGACCTTGAAATTGAGTTAAAACCAGAATCTGCCTTTGTTTCATCTGTTTTAGAAATATGTATGTCAGTATGTCATTTTCAATAAAAAACATAAAGTACAAAACAGACTTAAATACCATATCACAGCAACTGCACTCTGGCTAGTTAAGGTTATGTCTCTAACCGTTTTAATTTTCCAGCATCTTAATAAATAGGTTTGTCATTGGACATATCCTGTAAAAAGCAGTAGCTACATCCAACCATAACAAAGCAAACAAGTAATACCAGTTAAACTAGTCCTGTTCAGATGCCCTTTGGATTAACCAAAGTACAGAGCACAGTATCTGATTTATTGTGACATTTTCTTTTATTGCTCATAAAGACTTTCTCTCATGTTCCCTTTTTATTCCTCCTCTTTATTTTCTTTATTTTTGATCAAATTGTAAGTAAACAACGTGAAGTTTAATTTTGACGTTACAACATAAATTTAAAAAAAATTATCACAGCTCATATTTTAATTTGATGATAATCAATAGAAATGTAATTACAGTTTTTTCTTTTTATCCTCACAGTGTAGATATGTCTGCTGCCAGCTGTCTGCTGACTGAAGATCAGTTTCTGTGCTCCATCTGTCTGGATGTGTTCACTGATCCAGTCGCCATACCATGTGGACACAACTTCTGTAAAACCTGCATCACTGAACACTGGAATATTAATGTCCAGTGTCAGTGTCCCAACTGTAAAAAGGTTTACAGCACAAGACCTGAGCTGAAGGTCAATACTTTCATCTCTGAGATGGCTGCTCAGTTCAGACAGTCAGCTCAACAGAAAGCCAGCAGCAGCAGCTCAGAGCAACAAGTTTCCAAACCAGGAGAAGTTCCCTGTGACGTCTGCACTGGAACCAAACTGAAGGCCCTGAAGTCCTGCCTGGTGTGTCTGGCCTCCTACTGTGAGACTCACCTGGAGCCTCATCTGACAATGTCAGGCCTGAAAAGACATCAGCTGATCGACCCTGTGGAGAACCTGGAAGACAGGATGTGTACGAAGCACGATAAACTGATGGAGCTGTTCTGTAAGACCGACCAGATGTGTGTCTGCATGCTCTGCACTGTTTTAGACCACAAGACACATGATGTTGTTCCTCTGAAAGAAGAATATGAAGGAAAGAAGGCCGAGCTGGGGAAGACAGAGGCTGAAATTCAGCAAATGATCCAGAAGAGACAACTGAAGATTCAGGGAGATCAAACGCTCAGTGGAGCTCAGTAAGGAAGGTGCAGACAGAGAGATAGCAGATGGTGTTCAGGTCTTCACCGCTCTGAAGGAGTCTGTTGAGAGAAGCCAGGCCGAGCTCATCGACACGATCAAAGAGAAGCAGAGAAAGACAGAGAAACAGGCTGAAGACTTCATCAAAGAGCTGGAACAGGAAATCTCTGAGCTGAAGAAGAGAAGCTCTGAGGTGGACCAGCTCTTACAGTCTGAAGACCACCTCCACCTCCTCCAAAGCTTCCTGTCTCTGAACGCTGCTCCACCCACCAAGGACTGGACAAAAGTCAGCGTCCGTCCACCTTCATATGAGGGGACTGTGGTGAGAGCTGTGAATCAGCTGGAGGAGACGCTCAGTAAACAGATGAAGAAGCTGCTCGCTGAGGTCGAGCTGAAGAGGGTCCAGCAGTATGCAGTGGATGTGACACTCAATCCTGATACAGCACAGCCCTGGCTCATCCTCTCTGATGATGGAAAACAAGTTTACTGTGGTGATGTATGGAAGAATCTCCCAGACAATCCACAGAGATTTGATGCTTGTCCCTGTGTCTTAGCAAAGCAGAGTTTCTCTTCAGGAAGATTTTATTACGAGGTTCAGGTTAAAGGGAAGACTGAATGGGATTTAGGAGTGGCCAGAGAGTCGATCAACAGGAAGGGAATAATCACACTGAAACCTCAGGATGGTTACTGGACGATATGTTTGATGAATGAAAATGAGTACAAAGCTCTTGCTAGCCCTGCAGTCAGTCTCTCTCTGAAGTCTCAGCCTGAGAAGGTGGGGGTGTTTGTGGATTATGAGGAGGGTCTGCTCTCCTTTTATGATGTTGATGCTGCAGCTCTTATCTACTCCTTTACTGGCTGCTCCTTCACTGAGAAACTCTACCCATACTTTGGTCCCAGTATTAATTATGGTGGTAGAAACTCTGCCCCTCTGATCATCTCTCCTGTCAATCACACTGAGTAGAACAACCATTTGATTTTCTTCAGAAAGATTCACATCATTTAATGAATAAATGTATATTTATTGGTGATGTATGGAATATATATTTTTTTTCCTTTTATCATGTAAATGTATTGATATCATATTGTAGCCTCATTTATTCTAATAACTGCATTATCTGCCTTCAAAACTGTAAAATCATCAGAAAACAATGTACTCAGGAATAAGAAGCATTTACACATTCAAACCTTTATATTGTCTGATCATTGTTTATATAAGAATACTTTATACTACAT